TTTTTTTTTTTTTCGATTTTTGTGTTAGAATGAATGTTTGGATTGGCACATTTATCACTTTTTAAGAATTAGATTTTTTTAATGTTTAAAAAAAAGAAATCAAAAATTGAATTTTTTATTATTATTTTTTAATAAGGGCAAAAAGGTATTTTTTGGGTGCGGTGTTTAGTAAAATAGGGTGCGGTGTTTATTAACACTCAATTCGAAAGCAACCCTTACCAAAAAATCAGATAATTTTTTTCTTACAAAATTCAGATAATTTTTTTCTTTTTTGGTTCAATGACGGTCTTTTTTACCTGAAACTCCATGCTTATATTGTAGATCACAAGGAGACACTTCTTTCAGCATAAACAAAGGAACTAAATCAGACGTGAAATGCATCGTTTAAGAAAAAAAAGAAACTCATATATTTCAGGAAGCTGTGCTGCAAAGTGAATATCAAGGTCAAAATAGGGCACAATTATTGCTTCTTTCAGGACATACTGCATCAAACAAGAAGGCTGTGTTTTTCGATAAATCAAAGTCTCCAAAGCATCTAGGCAATTTTTCGACATCATTATTAATAAAACGACAATCTATCCAGTGTTTTCGGTATTCTTCAATCTGTCAGCAGCAAAATATCTCGTTTCAAACATAGGAAGAAATTCGCAAAAAGCACAATCGACATAAAATGGCCAAACAAGTACCGGAGATAAGCTGCATAATTTCAGCTTTAGATGAAGTTTCGGATGTCTAATGACTTCACATCAGGCAGTTCTTCATCCTTGAACTCATCCCTGCAAAATGTTGGGACATAAAGTTCAGAATATATTTCTTTTCAATGTTGAAGTTCAAGTTTACATAGCATCATTGTATGAAAAACATGCACACACACACACACATGATAGAATCGTAGAAGGTAGTAAGAAAAGACATACCGTTTTTTCTGAGTTTCCATGGCTTCAACAGCATCCTTCTTCAGCTCCTCCAGTTGGGCTTTTGCGATTTTAAGTTCCAATTGCTCCTCATATTTTGGCAGATCTTCTCTACGAATGCCGAGCCTATATAACAAACAATGTAACTAAGAGCGAACAGAAAGAACCCTGGTTGTGTGCAAGCACAACATTTTTCACTGCAAAAGTACTCATTGTCACACAAAAATATACTTTGTTAATCAGTAATCACACGAGGTAGGTAAACCTCTACTTTTATTGTTGGAAGGGTGGTAGATTTATAAATATTTTCCTAATATACCCGTCATGTTATCAATTATTACACTTCTATGATTATATTTTGCTGATATTCATGCAAATTAAATAAAGGCTACAAAGGGAAATTAATACTGCAACTTTATCTTTTTGGGACAAACTGAAATAGTAATGTTGTCCATCTTTTGCAGGAAGGAGAAAATAAATTTATTAACTCCAAGATTTATGCTAAATGATGTGACTGAGTCAATGTAACAAAAGCAAAAGGCATTTCCTGAATCATTACCGTACAGAAAACATTACCAGCCAAAATATGCAGAATTCTTTTTCAATATCACATTTTCACTTCCTCGAAAAGCTTACTTTTGGTTGACTTTGTCGAACTCTGCCTTAAGGAGGGCCATTCCCTTTTTATCATTTCTCAAAAGTGGATTTTTCAATTCCTTTTCCACTTTGTCCAGAGCATCCATCATCATGGCCTCTGCACCTAGTTCATCAACAAGGCCTCTCCTGCCAAATATAATTAGACAAATGTATAATGGGAGGAGTCAGGTTGTTGGAGGCTCAATTATAATTTATATCGAAATAATTCCTTTGTTTTATTCAGCACATATATTCTAAAACAGTACCAAATAGAAAGACAACGATGTTTCAAGCAGAAAAACAACAGCATATTATCTCAACTATTCAACACTCACATCCCAGGTTAATAGCCAAATACTTTAAGCATAGAAAACCTAAGTAACAATTGCATATATAATACAGAAGGAAGGAAGCATGGCATTACCCAATATTCATCCCTAAACTCAAGACAGAAATAAAAACTAGTCATACAACACATAAAAGCAAAGTGAAGGAAACAACGTACTTGACCCTAATGTCCTTCAAGGCCAGCAAATAGGATCTAGCATCAGGTATATCTTGGGTTTGAGATTCAATAGTGTATTTGATCCTCTCTGACTCCGAGAAAAGATTAGCCCTACAGGTATAATTGGCATCAAAAAAGAGAAGAGGAAAACAATAGATAAGGTCAAGAATTACCAATGATAGCTTTAACTAAGTCTACTTTAACAGGTGATATTTTACCATGACTTGTCATTTTGACGTCACTGTAAACAAGAATTAGTAACAGTAGTTCTTCAATTTGAGAATAGTAATTTGTTTCTGTGAGGTTACAAACAGAAGAGATATAACAAACATCAAGACACTAGTAAGAAAGATTCAAGAGAAAGTAGAAGACCTTACTTTTCTCGAGCAGTCTTCATGACTTTGGCATATTCAGCCACAGCAGCAGGGTTATCAGGATCAATGGTGATCTTCTCTTTCCGAATGACTCCTATGGCTGTCTCAAATTTCTTTTTCACCTCAAGAAATATGCCCTTCAACAATTCTTCAGACGAATGTGTAACAGTCAGAAACTCAGAAAATGTCATTTTAGGAAGCAAATCATTCAGCGACTTGTCAAAATTGAAACTTTATACAAAGGAATGACATAAATGAAGCAGAAATAGTACTGCTCATGATCAGGTAGAAGGAAAAAAAAAAAAGGGGAATCGCCAGAATGGCAGAATCCATAAGCACTACAGTATTTCCAAGTAACCATGTCACCCTACAAGGGCTACGTTGTTGAGACTAATTTGAAGTTTAGCCTTAGGAATGATGCACAGAACCACAACATCAAGTAAAGCCAGGATCAAATTTAACTGAAACAACTCATTAAGATAACACGAAAGATTTAATATAAAACGGCCATGAAGCCAATAACTACACTACACTTCACATCTCATTTGACATCAATTTTTGTTAACTAAAGTCTTCAGTCAGACATATGCCACTCAAATATAATGTCTAATATATTAAGGTGCAGGAAAGTGGAAACAACTAACTTTTTTTTTTTTTTAATTTTATTTTAAGCATAGATCATTCGTGTACAAATGATTTAGCTACATGGTTGCTATCAAACAGTGAATGCTCTAGAATAACTGAAACACAGAAAGTACCATCTTCTATCTTCATCTAACAGCCTTTTGAATTAACCATACCCATGACGACGATCCACATACAACATTAAAAAACAAAGGAGCAGAAATTAAAAGTACGGACACCCAGACACGAGATATGAAATGATAAGTAATTACAAAAGACCATCTTCTATTCACCTCAAGTGACCGATGCTGAGATGAGGATATATTTTTAGGGTCTTCAAAAATATTGGAAGTTCAGTGATGACTGAAGACATTAACATTACTACAAAGTTCAACATTTACATATATATTTGGGTCTACTATAAGAGCTTGGACAGAGACCTCAATCAAATAAAGTTCTACACAGGAATTAAGAACTTGTGCGTTTCACAATCAATAGATAAGCCTAAAGCAGTTTTCAGGCATCAACAGCATCAGGGTAGGCTGCATTGTGTAAGAAAAGCACATTATTTGTCAGTCTACCTAGAAATTTCTGTACGTTCCATTTGGAACACATTAGGTCAAGCATAATACTTCAGCAACACTGGATCCAATCCATGTACCTCTTAGTTCATAATAATCTAGAACCCCCCCTCCCCACCCAATCCCCCTAAACTTTTAATAAAAACATACTAGTTCACTGGAGTTCATTATGACAATTAACTCGTACAAACTCAGACCACCTCTCTCCATCAATCATTCAATTGTTGTCACAGAATGGTGCTAAACCAGTCAGTGGAAATCTTAAATCCCAATTAAACTCATCATTTGTCAATTGGTATTCATAGTCATCAAAAAACACATAAAAAAGTCCACGTTAGAGTTTGTTCCACAAATTCCACATATATAAGCTTCATAAAGCATGAACCCTTCCACTCAACATTTTGTCAAAATCAATTTATGCAACTAAAATAGATAATGTGCTAGGCAATGTTCTTCCTAAGCAAACCCTCTGTAATATCAAATCAAACTAATACTCCAAATCCTCATTATCATCGTAGCCAAAAGCCCAATAGACGAAACGAACAAAAATAGAAAAGAAAAAGGAAAAATCATCAAATCCCAAATAACAATCCAAACAAAGATGATCACCAAAACAAATCCGAGACTTACCATCACCCTTCAAAGCAGGGGGAGAATTTCCAGCTCCCTTGGCGAAGGACCGAGCTGCAACAACACACTCCGGCCGCATAACACTTTGCCCAGAGTACACCTGCCCAAAAAAAAAGATCAAAAATAAATGAAACATTAGATCGATCACCTCGCATTTCAATCATTTCAACCCCAAATCAATCAACTGAAAACCCTAGCGTTTTGACAACAGATCTAGCTGCGCAGTAAAATGAAATGCGATGAGATAAGAGAAATTGAGGGACCGAAAAGTGGGACCTGGCGAATTGATCTGGAGAGCAGGCGAGTGGCGAACGCCATTGTCGGATTGCAAGAGGAAATCTGTGGAGCTTTTTCGTCAGTGTTCTAGGTGTCTGAGCGGATCCTCTGGCCCCTTTACCTTTGCTCCAGCTGACCTAGTTTCTCTCTCTATCTCAGGTTTTCAAGAAGGGCAGAAATGGAAGAAAATGGATGGATCGTTTTGGGAGTAAACTGTGTCGTTTTGGCGGGTTTTGTTCAACTATGAGTAATGGTACATACGTGATATTCCGTTCGTGTTTCACTATCGTTTTTATGGAGTTTTCTATTTTGTTTGATTATGAATACGGTCATAAGTCCCAATGTTGCTCTCTTGACAAATGCCCATTAATATATCAATCAATTAAATGTAGCAAAAAATTAGCATACCATAGTGAATATACAATTATAAGATCACTAGATTTTGACACATGATTAGTGGGCAAATTCAAAATAAATCCAAATGTAACTAAATGTTTTAATTCGTATTTTGGTAGTAGAAGGTGTCATTCGACTAGTTTTGTTTAATTATGGGTAGTGGTATATACGTGATATTGCGTTCGTGTTTATTATCGTTTTTATCGAGTTTTCTATTTTGTTTGATTATGAATACGGTCATAAGTCGCTCGCTTGACCAATGCCAATTAGCAGATCAATCAATTAAATGTAGCAAAAAATTAGAATACCATAGTGAATATACAACTATAAGATCACGAGATTTTAACACATGATTAGTGGGCAAATTCAAAATCTATATATATATATATATATATATGGGATGGATCAAATGAGACCACTCCTTAAAATGAGTACGTGAGACTCAATCTTAGCCACTCATTTTATCTAGATCAAAATCAATTAAATATACATTAATTAAATAATAAAATAATTATTAGTTGACTCCGGCGAAAATCGTTGGCTTCCGACGTTGACCCGTTGACAAATAACCTAGCAGCAAGAAATAATTAACTTAGCAACAAAAGACACTCAACCTTGAGTGGTGTAGTGGTTGCATTGTTTGTCTTGTTTTCATGAGGTACCAGGTGCAAATCCTATGGGTTGCAATTTTTTTTTTTAAAAAAAAAAAAATAGCAACAAAAGACATATCCTAGCAATAAAATACAACTAACCTAGCAGCATCAGACAACTAACCTAGCATCAGAAATAACCTAGCAACAAAATACAACTAATCTCACAAAACACAACTAACCTAGCAGCTACAGATAACTAACCTAGCAACAAAAGACAACTAATATAATGCCCCAATCGATTTTTAAAGAAAACCCATGGTTTTTCAGAAAATCAAGGTAAAAATTTTCGAAACTTATTTTTCGAATCACAAATTTTTGACATTACTCATTCCTTTCATAAATACAGTTCAAGTCATAACTGAACCACGAGGATTCATTACCCGATTTTTCAACGGTTTTCATTAACCACATACAACAATAAATTTAACATCAGATCATACTCAATCATATATCAAGTAGGGTTTTCAACATAAACCAAATCCAATGTTTTCAAAATAAACGAGTTTCAATGCGCAATCCAACTTATTCCAAATAGGCAACATAAGCAATGAAGTCAATCTAACATAAGTTCATAAACTGAGCGGAAGCAAATAAATAAATAATAAGAAAGGCAAGACCACCACTCGCCCAGTCTCGTCACGCGCCGCTGCTTAACCTGCATCAGTTACGAGCAGGTGGGAGTGAGTACAGTTAAATATCGTACTCATACTTTGCAATGCACATTTCATAATATGTCAAATTGGCATGGTCGCAGCATGAACACAAACAATACACATATGTCACATCTCCATTATAACATAAATACTCCTGTGCACATCTTTCATAATAGTCGCGGAAAGGGGATTCATTACCCTAACGGCGAGAGTACGTGCCACGCAAGGACACGGCCTTTCATAATAGGTCTTTACGGAGACTTGCCTCATAAGGCAACCGTATTACATCGACGAGGACAACCGTAACGATGGCCATCATAATAGCTCACATTGATAGGCTACATATTCACGTTCATACATAGATCACGCCAAAACAGTAAACATATTTAAACACACATTACACAGGTAATTTTAGAATAACAACCCACCTGGA